TACGATTTATCAAAATCATAAGGATGCATGGTATGACGATAACCACGATGGCTTGTGTGAGATTGCAGAATTTTATAGCAGCTGGCGTGAGAGAGTTGGTGTTGAGCTGAAAATTTTATATTCAGCGTCATATTGTGTGACTGCGGCATCGAAGTGACTTACCCTGATTCTCACGACGAGTTTGGTCCCATTACATTTGTAGCCGGTATCGAGTTCATATAATACGAAGTGATAAGCTGTCAGTGCTAGGGATGATGCCATGGTTATGATGAGGAAGATGATATAGCGTCCATTCAGCTCGAAACACTAAAATAGCGCGTAATTCATTTACCTCGAAATTATGTATTTTTGTTGTTCCCATTCTTCAAATTCTTGCAATGAAAGGTTATTTTTGAGCAATTTTCGTAGAAAAAAATTATGGGTAAACAGATCTCTAATGCACTGAACATGCAATCTTCGCTAGCGTCACAATTACCCCTTCTGCACGTCATAAATAGCCCCTGCTCACAAGGTAAAGTAACTGATAGTCGACTAAAATACCTGGCTATTTCCTCTAGCACAGGTTGACTTAATTACAGTAGTATGCTCTTCAAAATGCCAATTTTGAAATATCACTACTTCAACAACAAATCAGAGTCACTTCGTGGAGTGATAACAAACACATGCAAAAGTGTGATCACAACTGGGACGTTGATCTTTTTTCTCAAGTTAGAAGAAGATTTAAAGTCAAAAATGACCTCAGAATGAAGTCCCAACGTTTGTGAGATGGGGATGTGCCGAAAAAAGGGTATTGAAAGCAAAATTGCAAACACGTTTTTCAAAATAGCGAATATTGAGGGTTGCAAATAACCGCAGAAGAATATTTTCGTCCTACTTTCTTTCACCAATCGGAAAATTTTACGTTGAATTTTTTGATCTACATGCAGCGACAAAAACGATCTAATGGGCCCAATCTTAGACATCATCAGTTGTTGTTTTCTAATAAGAAACATACCTTAGCAAGCGAAGACGATTTCGAGCGTAGATAGCATTCTATGCAGATTGCCAATGCAATGAAAATTTCCATGGCAGAAAGTAGATTTGACAGAGCGTTGATGGGGATTTTTGAGTGGTGATAAAAACGCCTGAACGAAATTGAATGAAATTTTTGAACAAATTTATACAAATGATTACCCACCTGAAGGCCTCTTCCTCGAAAAACCATGAGAAACTTCCTAGCGATTGCGGAAGCATAGTGCCGAAGATGAGAACATTGAGAATAGTCAAAACCAGCAGATTTGGTTTTGCCTGAGAGATTCAAAATGAGACAAAATTTCAAAATAAAAGCTAATTGCACTTACCACTATTCTATTCTTCGCGGATATAGTTTTCCGTATAATATCGTAGATTACAACTCCCAAAACAAGCAGTTGCAGTGGAAATACGATATGTTGTATCCAATAATCCACAGTAGAAATAGTAAGCGGACCACGTTCACATTGCGATGACATGGCTGAAGCTTTGTAAAGTTGTGCTCGAACTTGCAATCCAAACCCTTGACGGATGACGGATTTGGTAGTTTATATACAGATCGAGGAGGCGGGGAAGGGGCGTGACCGAGAGAGGCTGAATGGGCGGAGCGGAAGTCAGTGAATCGGCAGAGATCGGACAGAGGGGCGTGGACTTGGGATTTCAATGGGTAAGGCTCTATTCGATGTATGATGCAAACATGGGTTTATACTATTACGTTGATGCATAACATTGCACCAAAAATGGAAATTTCTTAATATGTTCAACAACGACGAAATCCTTATTTGTTACATGAATAGAAAAACTTGCACTTTCTAAGAATGCCTGAAGCTGAATAACTACCATATCACAATGACTCAAGTAGATCAAGAGCAACATTCAAGGTGATTCTTGAATTTCGGTAACTGAAATTTTGCTCAAACTACTTCATTGTCTACAGAAGTGTGTACTAAAACCTAATTTCAATTCTGCCTTTGGTTTCAAAACTCGCTCTTTCTGGAGAAGGGAGATTTGTGCTGATGGGAAGTGTATTTGTACATAGTTATGATTTTTGCTTTATTTAATCAACTGTTTTGCTACAGATTAGAGTTACAAGAATGCTATGACATGATTTAGAAGAGTATGCACAACTTCAAGCAAATTATTCTTATTTTTTGATGCAGGAATTATCATCAACCTAAAAAATGTACGACGACCAGCTTTTACAATACCGAGTTCACGGAGCAAAACAGGTTTTTGAGAGGTT